CAGAGACACAGACCAAATATAACACATAGAACCCAAACAATAATAATCATCATCATAATAAACTAGAAAATGATAAACTAAAAGCGCTGGGTCACCGACCCAGGACCATGACAAAAGATACCCATAGTAAACTACAGTTCGTTGAGTGGGATGCACACAGATTAATTTAATGTTTGACAGAGTAGTGGATCTCTTGGAGGACCAAAGGGAAGATTCATTAATGTAGTAAGAAGGACATGCATTAAAGATTAAATCTGTGATTTTTTTCCCCCAACACATCCTTGTGTTTTTCTTAGTAGCATATGTATAAAAGCTGTATTGATGTATAAGGGGAACAAAAAAATGAGGTTAGTCATCGTCTTCAATTAAAAAAGATGGTAGGCTGAGAAGTTGAAGGCATGCCGAGTGTTTAGCAGCCGAGTTTTCCCTCTGCCTCGAAAAGCTTAACATTTGTAGTGTCCTCCAACTGCCACAGGATGGCAGACCTCTCCAAGAAGAATCACATGCTCAAAGAGACCACAGACCTCAAAGCACTGTCACTGATTTGTCAATGATGTGGTTCATTCTTAATGCTCTCATACTGAATGCACACCAAAGTATCAGATAGTGAACCTCATTTTGACCCCAGTACATTCATGTAAATGTTAAAAAGTGCTGAGACATAAGCCCAGCATGAATGTGTGTGACTGGGTGAGTAAGACTTGTAGAAAGGTGATATAAAGGTGATATACATGTCCATTTACCATTTACTTACTTCTCCACAATCACTAAATATCTCGATTTATATGGGGGCTTATATTATTTAAAACTGCATTGTGCTAAATATCTGTTGTGTAACCAAAACGTTAATCTAGTGTTAAAATGTTAAATTAACACCTGGAAGAAATAAAATATGAATTCTACTGAAATTTAAAAAAGCACTTTTCCAATTTCTTTATCAGTGGAAAAAAATGTTAAAGTGCAAAAGGGTCGGTTGTTATGAAAGTGGTTAGCCATTTCAGTGAAAAGACATTAGCTGTGCTTGCTAGGCTAGCAACTGCTTGTGTGATTATTTGTTGTCTACTAAAAGACCATCCAAGAAGATGTTTGTTACCAGTTCTGACAAATTCTGTCATTTTATTAGTCTGTCATTGTGTCATACCTGTTGTTTATGCATGCATCTCACTGGCAAGCATTAGTAACAACAGAGCATTCAATCTTTGGATACTTTTAGCTCAAAGAAAAGCTGCAATGCTAAAACTAGTGCTTCAGAATGGTTGCTAATAGTGATGTGTCGGTCGCGAACGAAATGGCTCCTAGAGCCGACTCTTTGAAGTGAACGACACAAGGTTTTTTTTTCTTTTTCTTTCTCTCTCCCTCTCTCTCCTTTTTTTAGCTTCACTCCGCACAGGACTTGTGCTTTGCGCTGGAAGAGGGCGGTAGTTACACTCACAGTAACACAGGACCAGAGCAGGAGGGAAAGAGAGCCAGAGACAACAACGTCACGTTAGAAAGGTGTAGTAATCATTCACAACTATTTTCAGTTGCGGATGATAAAGGATTCAGAAAGTTTATTAATGAAGGCCCATATGACAGAGAATATGCATCTTCTTTTTGTTTTCATATTTTAATTTATATTTAATTGTGTTGTGGTTTGCAGTGTTTTATGTTGTTTCACTTTAAATTTGTTTAAAAGGAAAAAGCTGAAAATTTAAATAGTTAAAAGTTGAAATGGAAATAGTTGGTTTTTATTATTATATGATTTATTTATTACATTTTATGTGGAGTGAATAAATAAAAGTATATTTAAAGTATATTTACGGCACGTACAAACCCCAAAGCACGTAAAAACTCAGAAGCAAGGACAAACTCCGAAGCACGTACAAAACCAAACAGAAGTGCTCCAGAATGCTAGGGACAGTGTTGAGCTTTTATTACCTAGTGGCTACACAAGCCAGCAAGTACCAACGACCGGATTTGGTGTGTGGTAGTAACAGTTTTTTTTTAATTATCTGAATATATATGAGTGCTTGTGTATAAATACACAAACAATACACATATGCTTTCAATTGTGTAATTTAAGTGATCTAGGTAGCTCTGTTTTGGAAGTTCAGTTAACGCTAGAAATGTGTTTGTATGTGCTTTGTCTCTAGGGCCACCACATATATTTATATATAAACATATATAAATAAAACCACTTTTTTTACATTAGTAATTCCTTTTGTGCATAATTTTTAATTGTTGTTAATAATAAATAAATTAAAGCAACAAAACAACCTGGAGAGCTGGTTGGGAGCCGAAAGAGCCGGTTCTGTAAAAAGAGCCAGAAATCCCATCACTAGTAGCTCATAAATCAGCCCACAAATCAGCAGCTGATATTAACTCTAGATCCACGAGTGACTGGACTCTACATTTTTAAATAAGTTAGTCAAACATTGCTGTTTTCTTGCCTTATCTGCTCGCTGTTTAAATTGTGACAAACTACCTGTTTCGAGCTACAATCACTACACACATACTGTTTACTTTACTTTACAACTTTACGACCAGTGTTGGTCAAGTTACTTGAAAAAAGTAATCAGTAACTAATTACTGATTACTTCCCCAAAAAAGTAATCCCGTTACTTTACTGATTACTTATTTTCAAAAGTAATTAATTACTTAGTTACTGAGTTACTTTTTAAAAACACGATTTACAACCTGAATAGGTGATAAAGCGATAGATCTTTCAGCCCAATTCTACTTTTTCTGCATAATCCATCATACAAAATGTAATCAAATGGAAAAGTCTCTTTTTTTAACTTGTTTTATCAGTTTTAATCTTTTAACTTTATGCATCAAGCAAAAATTTAATTATATGCAACATTCTCTGACTTGAATAAATTAGTTTAACATTTAAAGCTATTTTCTGCACATTCCAGTACATAAAATAAAATATTTTTTGTGTTTACACTCACTCTTTCAAATAGATGCAAGTAAAACACAGCAGAAAATAAATAAAGTCAAAGACTCATCGGTGCTGTTGCTCTATTTTCACCTGTATAGCAGGACTGCGGTAGGCGGAGGTTTACCCTGGTGCAGGTGTGCCGCGGTCAGTTGAAGAATCCACGACTTTCTCTGTGAGTTTCCCATTACGTCATGGCGCACTCGGTGCTTGCTTGGAAGTTTAGGGGTTTTTTCGCTGTAAAAAGAAGTTTTCTTCCCACGCACGATGGACGCTAATGTTTTTGTCACTTTTTATGGAATCAAACTCAAAGTAAGGTCAGTACTTCCACGCTTTAAACGCTGCACGCTCATACTCTCTCCCGCACTCGATATGTGATCCATTGTTGATCTGCAGACAGCTGTTGTCACTAACGCGCACTTGCTGATGTCACTGTCGTGAGACATTCTCGCAAAAAATCACGGTTTTAGTAACGCAGTAACGCAGCGTTCCTACGGGAAAGTAACGGTAATCTAATTACCGTTTTTGCAATAGTAATCCCTTACTTTACTCGTTACTTGAAAAAAGTAATCAGATTACAGTAACGCGTTACCCATCTCTGTTTACGACCTTTGTTTCTAGGAAACTTATGATACCTATCGGAGGATCATTTTGACCCACTTACACATTTAAGGGTTAAGGTGGCTGCTCGCATCTTGTAAAAAAGATAAATTGGTGTAAGGGAGATCAAATCAAGTAATGGAACCAGCATTTATATGCATTAAAACAGATGATACTGTTGATATATGATTGCATTACTTGCATAGGCAACTTCTTGGGTTGTTTTATAGTTTGGTGTACTTTCCCCGAAATAAAATCGATGCATTTAGTAAGCAGGTCAGTTGCATTAATCAAATCAGTCGCATGCCATGATAACTGTTGATGAGCAAACACATTTCGATGTGTTTCCCGCAGCAGCTGCCATCAAACAAAACAACCACGCCTACCAAAATCTTCAGGAAGTGAGAGATCAGCGTCTGTTTTTCTGTTAGTTGGTGTTGACACAGGATGCAGTTAACACCATTCTGCCTGATGCTGAGTGAGTACAAAATTCAACATTTAAGGATATTTTGAACAATTTTGTACAATTTTTTTTTCTTATAATCCATCATTATCCCTGCTTACACTGTTATTTCTTAAACACTGCTTTTATTCGGTCCTTAATAAATTATTTTCATTCTGGTTTTTTTTTGGTTGTTGTTTTTTGTTGTTTTTTAATTTTCACCCTTTTCTTGTCTCCTTCTCTCTCCCTTCCTTCCCTACAGCCTGTCTTCAGGTCAACCCTGACAGGTCTCAGTTCTTCAGGTATGACAACATCTCTTTGAGCTGTGGCGAACAGTTGAACAACACTGGTTGGAAAGTGAAGAGGAAAACGCTCGCAGGGGGACCAGACCCTGCTCCTCTGGCTGGGCTATGCCTCCTCGGGTTCGACTTGCATCATCGGACAAACCTACCCACCAGACAGCGGTGTGTACTGGTGTGAGTCTGTCAGTGGGGAGCAGAGCAATGTGGTCAACATTACCATTACTGGTATGAATAACACTACGTTAAGTTCTGCTATGCAACATTTAAACTTAAAGTCACACTTATTAAGGCAGATCATTTAGAAACGAAGCAAAGAAAACCTATAAAAATGACAAATCTTGATTTTCTGCATTTTCCAAAGATCAGCCTCTGATTTTGGAGAGTCCTGCCCTTCCTGTGTCCGAGGGAGCCACTGTAACACTGCATTGTACACCTGAGACAAAGTCCTTCAACCAGTTTTTTGATTTCTATAAAGATGGCCACTGCATCAAAAGGAACTCCACAGGAGAAATCACCATTAAAAGGGTTTCTAAATCTGATGAAGGACTCTATAAATGCAGCATTTCAGGAGGTGAAGAATCACTAGGCAGCTGGCTGGCAGTTGATGGTGAGCAACAAAAATCCCATCACATACACAATGTTGAGCAATTTAAAAATTTTAAGCATTTTAAGAAAAAAGAAATTTAAAAAAATGGCTGTTAGAGGAATTATATCTAAATCTCCAAAATTTGCATATTTGTCTGTGTTTTGTACATCTGCAAATGATGAAGAGAGAAAAACATTTTACCCCTAAAAAAGACACAATTAAAGAAAACATGTATTTAATAAAGCATTTAAATGTATAATTTCCATGTTCATCTCTTTACAGCTTCATCTCAGGAGTTTCCTTCATCTACATCTGCAGCTGAACCGGCCGCTCCCTGCTCTTTTCTGTCTTAAGACTAGTATTTCACCTGTTGGTGGGAACGCCTTACCTGGTGTCCACTGTTCTACTGGGGCTTATATACCGAGACAGGAGGAGAGGTAAAGTAAACCCTGCAAGTGTGTAAGAGGTATTTCTTATCAGATTGGGTTATAACAACAACAACATGTGCTATCTGCTAGTAAACTGTTTTCTGGAGGCTTTTGTTTGTTGTCAGTGACAATTTCTGTTAATCAAAACTGTTGTCTGAAAATAGAATGTTACATAAAATAGATATGTCATCTATTGTTGATTATTTTGTTGTCTTCATTTTTTTTTTGCATATTTGGCACAGTGACATGCATCAAATCATTAAGAAAATAATAGTCCAATGTATCCAAACCTGTTCATTTTAAGAATTTCCTTAAACAGAACCTTTGTGACAAAGTGAATCAGCCTAAAGATTACAAAAAGCAACAGATCATGCCACAATCTACAGGAACACCGCAAGCGAGGTCACAAAACACCATCTAAAGAACTGCAGCCTTCACTTGGTTCAGTAAAAGTCAGAATTCATGATTCAACAATAAGAGAATGGATACAAATTGTATTCATGGGAGAGTTCTAAGTAAATCACTGCTAACCAAAAAGAAAGGCTCATCTCACAGTGTCAAAAACATCTCGATGATCCCCAAAACCTTTGGCAAAATAATGTCTGGACTCACAAGACCAAAGTTTTTGGAAGGTTTTCTCATCTCACCTTTTCTCAGCATAAGAAGATCATCATGCCATCAGTCAAACAAGGTGGTGGTAGTGTGATAGTCTGGGACAACTTTGCTGCTTCAAGACCCGGACATCTTACCATAATTGATGGAACCATGAATTCTCCTCTCTACCAGAAGGCCCAGCCATCAGATTAAGCTTATATATATATATATATATATATATATATATATATATATATATATATATATGCACACAAAATTTCTCCACAGCAATGTCACAGGCTCACTGCCAAATGTTTGATTCCGCCCTTACTGCCAAGTAACTATTAGCTCTGAAACATTTAAGTGTGACAAATATCAGTAAAAGAAAGAAAAGCATTGAAAATGGAATGCAAATCCTTTTTTTTCACTGTACTGTACGTATAATTTGGCCACTAATTCAAATTCAATTCATAAAAGTCTTCATAAAAGTGGCTGTAGCGGTAGAGCTGGTCATCTACTGATTGGAAGGTTCGTGGTTCGATTCTTGGCTTCCCCCAAGTCTGCATGCCAAATATCCTTGAGCAAGATGCTAACCCCATGTTGCTCTCCGATGATCCATCGAGTGTGACTGTGTATGAATGTTAGATAGGCTAACAGCTTGGAAAAAGTGATTGGGTGAATGAATTATTTGTATAAAGCACCTTGAGTGCTCAATTAGACTAGAAAAGCACTATATAAGAACCAGTCCATTTACATTAATGCACAATTTTAGAATTCATAAAAGGGAGGCTTTTGGAAACTGTTTGGTTTCAGCGCTTACATCAAATAATCAAATCATCCATGCCTAACTGTGTAATGTCATCCTCCTTTTGTTGATATGATGGCAATGGATAATACTCCTTAAAATCTGCTCACCTAATGCTGTATTTGTAGTTCACTCTACGATATATTGACTATATATGTGTGTGTGTGGGTGTTGCTGTGTGTGAAGTTGGAAATAGAGATAAAGGAAAGTAGATATGTTCATTTTCTTATGTCAAATATAACATTTGTATGTTCGTTTTCACATTATACATGTTTTAATGGTTGCCGGAGGGCTTTAACTTTAAATTTTTAAATTTTTAAATTGTATTTCCTGTCTGGCTTTATCATTTTACAGTATTAACTGAAGGTGGACGGCCTCCACAACATAATTCTTGGTTATAAGAACTAATAATCTGGTTTCAAATGGTGCTACAAAAGTGTGAATTTGAGCTTTCATAATGAGACTTTATAAATCATTGGTTGATCTCACGGTGGTCATGTCCATTTTTTTATACTGTGCTCATGAGCAATAGATGTTATTGGTAGAAAAAAGTCTGTTCTTTAGGTGCCACGTTATTATAAAGCAGCCATGTTTTTTCTGGTGAACTGTGTTTTGACACCAGCTGCTGAGGTTATTGAGGTTTGCAGGTAAATTCCAAAGTTACAATGTGGTATTGCAGGTGACCTTTGACAAACAAGTTACTTCTAGAAAAATGAGGCAATCTTGATCTGATTAAAAACCTTTTACTGCTGTTTGCTGACGACTGTTAAGACAAAAGCTGCAAGAATTCATGTTGCTGTTCTGTTTGTTTTTTCTTCACAGCAGCTCAGAATGCTGTGAAGAGAATGAGCACGGATCATGTCATCATGGAAATGGTTGTTTAACCAAACAAGCTGATGAACATGTACCACGGGGTGTCCTGAACGTGGGTATTCATTTTTCACCAGCTTTCAGTTGACATTTGCCAGCATTTATCTGTGCAGGGCCAACGGGGACCGTAGTGTCATTCAAAAAAAAAGAGCTGAGGCCTGCGCAAGTGGTCTGTTTGTAACACTTCTACAAACTGAGTCTTCTAATAACTAATGTTATTGTCTTGCTGTATTCTGCCACAGTATTTCATGTTTTGCATTGTTATTGTGTGTGTGCAAGCCCATCACCATGTTGTTTACTTTGTTTATCAGGAAAACAGTAGTTACTATCTGAATATCAGGATAATGTTTTAATACGACTTCATGTTCACTAACACTCGAGTATAAACCTTGGTTTTTATCTCAAAGGGTTTTTCCTGTCCTGATGCCACTGCGTGTGCCTGCTGCGCAATCTTTCTTCATATCTTACCACTTATAGCCCTTTCAACAGTATCTCAGGTCGACCTGATGTGGCTCTAATCGACTTTAATCATTTTCCATTAAAAGGACCACTTAATAGCAATGTGGACAAAAGACCCATAACATCATCTGTATGTGACGCCAACACCACGACAGGTTGAGGCGATGGTTCACCTGCTTCGATGTATGACACCCGGTCATTGGGGGCTATTGATGAGTTAGGCTCAGAGAGAAAGGTTTGAATTCAGTTAACATCCACTCATTTGAATGGAATTTTTATCTGTTTGGAAAACCAAAAATGAATAACCAGAGTGCAAAACGATGCATACTTAATTTACTTTTTTAGCATCTAGCTAAAACAAACCGCGGGTTAATAACCCTAGATGGGTCACCAGAGACCTGTTGAATGTTAGGAGTTTAAAAACAGAAAGAGCAAGTGTGTGTTTAGAGGAGACAAAGATGTGTCTTGGTTTTTATTCCTGTAATGAGATTTTTTTAATCAAATTTTTGTTTTTGGTTTATTTTAAAACAGTGGTAAGGTTTTGAATTAATATTTGATATGTTAGGTTCTTGTCAATAGTTTTTCACCTATTATGATCTTTTGTACAGATTTAACCGATTTTTAAAAATTGTTTTAGTTGAATTCTTAATTTCATAGCAAGAATAAATATATTTTAAAAATAAATTTCATGTCTGGACATGAAGAGATGCCTCTGATTCATTCTTGTGTTGTTGGTTCGTCTGGAGTGGTTCTTTTGTTTTTTCTCACTATTAAGGTTTTCATGACCAGTTTCTCCGATCACATTATCAACCCTGCCGAGTGACTTTTCTTAAAATCACAGAAATCTTAGGACTGAATAAATGTTAGTAAGCTTTCCCGGGTTCTGTGTTTTGTTGCTCAACAAAGGCTGTTCACTTTGCTCAGTTCCTTCCTGTTGTGGTGTGGGAGGGGACAGTAGGAGAGCAGAAATATGAAGAGACACATAAGAGCAAAACTGGCCAGTTCTTTTATTGGCCACAGGTGGCTTTAGTCAAGTTTCCACTCAGTCATAAATCAGTAATAAGCAGTGAGGTGTAAAGCATGCTGTGACATTTCTGTTGACATGGAGCCCATAGTAAAAGTCCCAGACATGGCTGCTATCTGCTATTTTTGACGTGTGACGCTTTTGACCTTTTGTGACAATTTTCCTCTGTTTTCATAAGAGCAAGAACGTTTGTTGAAAAATATCAAACTGTTAGATTACAGAGGATGTGAAATGCATAATCGCTGTGTGTGAAAAGGAAGTGTAGGGGCCTTCAGTGCTCGGCGAAGTGTTTGTGGTTTTATTTTCATCAGCTTTTGTACGGCTGTCTCTTGTTGTTTTTGTCCACACTTTCATCTCCGTTCAGCATGGGCTCAAAACTTTACTCAAAATTAATAATATTTCTTTAAATTGCAAACAGAGAAATGCAGTGATTATTGCTCCATCAGCTCTTTCAGCCAATATGGGTCAGCTGTGGTTAAATTGAGTGTATTCAATCTAGGGGAGTGTAATTTCTGAGAAGACACAGGACACTGTGCCAGTTTAAAAACCCACAACACAAACAGCTCAGCAGTTATATTGAAAGCATGTGCAGTTTAAAATGGCAAAAACGATTTAAAAAATGGAACAAAAAAACAAAAAAATGGAAACGAGTATAAGTGCTTGTTTGACAGGTAAACTTGTTTGACCTATATTTAGTTTTCTGCTGTGTGGCTGGAAAATCCTGTGGTCTGGTTTCTGAGTAAAGCTGCTCTCTGTTGTGTTCGGTGGTGGGAACAATAGGACCTATCTCAAACACTGAACCAGAGGTTTCTGACCCTGAATAAGTACTGATGTCACTGTCATGGAGTGCACTGCTGTGTAAATCATAGTGAATCTTTACAAAGTCTTCACATTACAAATTATTTAAATATTCTCCAACATTTTGTACATAAGAAGGGAAAAAAGGAGGGGGAATTGACGATGAATGAAGTAAAGACAGAAAAATAGAGGTAATTTAGTTCTTTTTTTTTGTTATTTTATATAACAATATGTCTTGGTCAACACAATCACAGCTGCATTGTGCCGAATACAAATGTAAACCACGGGCAAGTCTGTCTGACTGAAACCACTTCCTGTGGAAAAATTTGGCCAGATTTGCAAAAACGCTAATATGAAACACTGT